AAACATGCAACTACGTAAAAATAACTTGGAAATCATTTATTAGGAAGAAATATTAATATACCTAATTTAAATTAGGCGAGCAACAAAGCTATCAATTTTGTCGCTCAGCGAGCGACAAAGCTGTCACCTAATGTCAGTTCACGGAAAATATCAACTATGCGGTTGGTTTTCGAAGTGCAGAACTTCTTTGGATAGTGATCGAAGAAAAAATATTTTAGACGAGATGGCCAGAAAAAAAGGAATTAAAAGTCTCAGATTCCCTACTTAAAAACGCAGAGTTAAATCTTATTACACAATTAAAAGATTGTTTGTCGAAACAATACAACGTTCCAATTACCTGATTTGCTAAATTGTTTTTGAACACAGTTTCAGATGTAAATGGAGAACATAAGAGAAAATGTATTGATCATATTAAAAAGGTGGAAAATTCATTTTGTAAAGTGGATATAGCAATAGAAAACTTAATAAACCCTATAATAATAAACCTCAGTAAAAGACAATAATAATGATACCAGTAGTTATAGTGAAGACTGTTGAATATAGTTCTTGAACTTTTTATTTTTTTAATCTTTGATTTTAGTTACTGATACTTTTAATGCCAAGAGATTAAAAAATGTTTAATCCCATTGACAACATACAGAGTAGCTGTTAAAGATGGAACCAAACCTATAGTGCTTAAACAGTTCAACATACAAAACCCAAAATTTCAGAGTATTAACTAAATATATTTGCGCATATTTTAGCCCAAAAATTATTTTTTTTATAAATACCAAATTTTAAGCATGGCCGCCATCTTGATTTTTTTAAATAGCAACATAGGTCATGTGATATACCATTTGAAAGGGTTTAACACCCTGATTACAAAAATATATTACACATGGGTCTTGTGTCAAATGCACAGCCTCCTACGCTCCCTATTAATAATATCCTTTCTTTTGTGTTAGACCCATGTGTAATACATTTTTGTAAAACCCTTTCAAATGGTATATCACATGACCTACGTTGCCATTTAAAAAAATCAAGATGGCGGCCATGCTTAAAATTTTGTAATTATAAAAAAAATAATTTTTGGACTAAAATATGCGCAAATATATTTAGTTGAAATCCTGAAATTTTGGGTTTTGTATGTTGAACCGTTTAAGCACTATAAGTTTGGTTCCATCTTTAACAGCTACCCTTCCTTGTTATTTATTGGTTAAATTAAATCCATCAATGTTAAATAATTTAAATTTTTTCATGCAAAATTCAGTCTATCAAGTGCGTATATATCATTTTATGTGCCGTCACCTTATTTATTTTATAGAAACTTATTTTACAAAATATGCCTATTGAATGTGACATTATATCCCCACTTTTACAACACTAATTGATCTAAATTTACAATTGAAATTGTTAAAATTTCTTCAGTTGGATTTTTTTCTTTCAGAAGCTTATAAAATACTTCTTTCATTGACCTCACCATTATTTCCCTAACTCCTCCAGTATGTCCAGCTCTAGGAGTGCTGAAAATCCACTTTAAGTTGTTTGTTATACTTGCATCTGCAGTTAGTTTGTTGTGATCCAAATTTTCTTCATTTCATTTTCCGCCCCTAAAAATTTGTTCTATTATCTCAATGTATCTCAATCTGAATTGCTCGTGTATTTAAACAAGAAAATAGTGCTCATTATCTTTTTTTCTACTTCTTTTCACCTTAACAAATAATGGTCTAAAATAATCCAATCCACAGTAAGTAAATGGTCTACAGAAATTGTTTAATCTATATTCTAACAATGGGGACATGTCTGAAGGGATTTTCCATTATATAGGTATTTTGCAGTGTTGACAATTATAAATAATAATAAGTTTGTCTCATTTTTTTATCAAACATTTTTGTTTTAAGTTATTTAAAACTGTTTTATGACCAGTAAGAGTAGAGCATACTCTTTCGTGATAGTACTGAACTAATAGTCGCTGATGGTAAAATAATTGGACATTTTAAATCATATTCTAATTTAGCGAATTTAATTCTACTATCCATTCTTAGCACACCAAAACATCAAACTAGGTACAAATAATTTTAAAATCATTTATTAAAAAGAAATATTATTATAAGTTTGTTCCAACAGCTCTGACTCATGCATGGATGCATTCGTAAACTAATCACTGCGCATGTCAGTCCGTTTATTCGTCCGTTGTTTAATAGCGACTTGTCTTTGTTGGAACGCAAAACCAAACACATGTTTGGTAAATAGGTATTTTAAACATTATTTAAAATACAACAAAATACATTTATTTAGCTGCTTCGAACGATTTATGTGAATTGTGAATGTATAATTTTGAAACCCTAAGATGTTTATTTTTATCAAAAATAAGTACGTATTTTATATAAAAAACCGTAAACAAGCTAAACACATAAATTGTATATTTCAGTTGAAAGAAATAGAAACCCAAACCACTCCAAGCCACTTTAAAGCCCAACAATTACAAACAAATAGCACGAACGAGAAGAGACGTTTAAATGCGCATGTGCCACATACTTTGATTTTCTTGCATGTGCTGATTAATTGTACAAGCGACGAAGCTTTGAGGTTTGTTCCAACAACGATCTTGGAACAATACATAAACCAGTACAAAACTTATTGTTGACAATCTGTCGACGACTAGTAAATGACAACCTGTCAGGTACTGGTCGGGGATTGCGACTCAACTCGGAACTCGATTATGTTGGAACACATTCTTTAAATTCAACAGACGTACTATTACAATAATAAACCACAAAATAAAATAAATGATAGATACAAATAATATAATTACAATCACAAAATGTTCAGTTTATTGCGGCTTTGCGCGTGTCTTGACAATTCGTTTCTATTCAGACCCAGAAACTGATTTGACAATACACAAATCGGTTTGTGATTAGTTTTGGTTTTGTTGGAACGCTATGTTTTTATACAGTTTTGAGTCTAAGGTTTGTTGGAACACGAATTCTAGACTGCGCAGAATCCCGACAGTACGCAAACTGATTTGGTTTATGTTCTGTGATCGTTTTCACAGTCCGCCGCCTCATTCATGTACGAATCAGAAAATACGTTGGAATGTTTTACTGACAGTTCATCGGATTATCCTTGGCTTTGTAGGAACGGATTATATTCAATGCGCAAGCATCTGACGTCCTTCTGATGATCAGATTAGCTGTTGGAACAAACCTTAAATTTAAATTAGGCGCGCGACAAAGCTGTCAAGTTTTCCGCTCGGCGATCGACAAAGCTCTCACTTAATGTCAGTTCGCGAAAAACGTCAACTTTGCGGTTGAATTTCCAAGCGCAAAGGCCTACTTTGGATAGTGATCGCAGAAGAAAAGTATATATCATACATCAACGATTATTTATAAAAACAAAATAAAAAAAAAAACAATTAAATTCAAATTATTTCTCCTTGTTCTCGCGACCTTTTCAAATCTATTGTGAGACACTCTTATTTAGAGTATGTTGTCTATTTTGGTCTTCTTTATTAGACTAGTATTAAAAATTTAGCTGGGATTCATACTGAGTGAGGACGTGGATTTGTGATTTCTTTTCATCTCCACAGAACCTGCGTAGTGTTGCATATTTTATGCTGAATTATTGACATGGGACAGTGTCCGGAGGGAAGACCTACTGCTATTCTAAAGGTTTGTCGTTTTTGATCCAGTAGGTCTTTCGTGAACTTGTCCGACGGCCAAAGAGTTCATTAAGGAACCGTCGGCTAGGTTTATTAATGAACTCTTTGACCTGTTTCAATGCTGGATAGTTGTTTCGCCATTCCTGAGACTCTTTTTGCATCCATTGTTTGATGAAGAGGAATTGTAAAATCATATTCTTTTTTACTTGCTGTTATAGCCTTGTATAGTTTATTGGCTTATTGAGTGTTCTCCCTGCAGTAGCCTGTGAATGACGGACCTGATTTCTCTTTATTTAAATATGTGAAGTGGCGTAGAACAGAAGTAAAAGTTGGAAATGCTTTTGCCAGTTCTCCCACTTTATACACATAAATTGACAGGTTGGCAGCGGAACTCACCGAAGTGGACGCGATACATTGGCGTACAAAATTATTTTATAGATGTTAATAACAATTTCGAGTAAATAGTTTAATAAATTGTAAATAGCTGTTGAAATTTTGTAAAATTATGATTTTAATATTATAATACATGTTTAATAATTATTTAAAATCCATAAATACATGCGATTGTCCGGTTCAGCCGATAACAATTTAAAATTACATATTCTATGAAACGACACTGGCAGGTAAACATTACTGCGAAATTCTCGGAGCCGCCCGACGTGGTTTGACGTTTACCCCCTCTCTATCTACCAAAAGACTTTTCAACTTTTACTTTCTCTATACCTCCTTTGCTGCAGTTAATGTCTTACGCATGGCCCCTATATTACTCAGGCAGGCGAGCCACTAAATGCCTGTATAGTAGGTTATCATGAGTCTTATTATCCTTGTGTATAACCATATGGCCACTAGAACTGACCAATGGTCCTATTATTCAGGCTGGTAGTTATCCATTGGCATATTGTTCCTGGGACATTTTTCTGTTCTAGATCTTAAATCCTTCGTTATTAACCTGATTAAGGCATTATTGAAAGTTCCTTCAATATCCAAGAAAGTGGTTATTGTCATCTATTGACTTCGAATGCTGTCGGTAGGTCAGTTGCGTTTCGTGGTTAGTATGCATATTAGTTGGGACGCAGTGATACATATCAATATTTCTAGCGTTTTCGGTAAGAAAATGCTTATAGGGCGATATGACTGCCGTTTGATCTGTATAATATGATAAGCTTCACTATAGAATTGTATATAACAGATAGATTAACTACAATGTTTATTAAATTAAATAATAACTATTAATACACCTAGCATTGTTATGATTATTACTACTGCTGAAATATGCGCGTGTCTTTTTGCACTTCTTCGTGCTTACTATACCTCCAAAATAAAGAAATTGAAAGTTTCAATTTTTTGTGTTTGTTTTCAGGAACAAATAGAAAAAATTGGACATTTGGCGTGCACTTTCGTTCCTGAATTCGTCAAAGGTTTATGTCCATCAATGATCGACAAAGTTTACAAAAATGTATACAATGAGGTAGTAGTTAATGGCATGACTCCAAAGGATATATGCCATGAAGTGAAGCTATGCTAAATCTCTTAAAACATAATATGTAAATAAAAGTACGTATTTAATGTAATTTAATTTCTTATTCCAAAAAAATCAAAATAAAACATATTTATTTTTATTATTTATCATATCATTACACGTAGACTTCTTAAAGTGGTTTTAATACAGAAATATTGTAACTCCTACTATCCACTCATGGACAATCACCTTCTGTGCGATAAAACCTTATTTATATTTGTAAGAATAGGGGAAATTCAAAATCTTCACCAAATGAAAAAATATTTAATAACAAAAAAATTAAGTGAAACTAGTTTCGGCCATTCTGTTAATCATCATACCAAAAATAGGAAGATATATGTTAAAGTAAGACGATCTCCCTCCACTGTAAACTCCGTTATTTAAAATAAAAGGCGAAAAAGGCTCAACGCAGTCAATGTTTTTCTTACTCGTAGTATTCTATAAAATAAAAAAATCTTCCATAGCTTTCATCCCCTCCACGTGAGAGCCAACCCAAGTAACAATTTTGAGTAGCATAGTTGCTTTAGAAACGTTTACAAAACAAGTGTTGTTCAAAGAAAACTTTCAAAAATACACCTAAATAACAAAGTTTTCAGAATATTTTCATCTTATAAAATATTCAGTAGGAATTGCAACTCACTATTATAGAATAGTGCTAAAAACAATTTTGCAACCATTAAAGACCACTGTAACAACACGATTATAAAACTTTTCTTTAATAATACCATTGTGGTGTCAAAAATAGATGTTATAGGGCGTGAACATTTAAAAACTTCCAATGGGATATATCTAACAAACGAAAGATGATATCGAAAATGCTTGAAAGCATTTCTAGGATAGAATGGTGAAATTAAAATGAAATAAAAGAGAACTCACCCACATCAACCCCGTAGGCCCCACATACCCCAACTAAAAAAGTTTAAATAGCAAACCCCTACTTGTGGTACTTCATTAAAAAGCCTATAAAAAATGCTATCCAATGGTATAAATATTAATTGTACAGGGTGAATCAATTGAGAAACCTTGCCTTGAGAGGAAAATTTAATGAAGTTTTTTTTTAACCACAAATTTGTGAGTTCTCTTTTATGTCATTTTAGTTCGCCCTTTCTATCCTAGAAACGGTTTTAGGCATTTTTTGATATCTTTCGTTTGTGAGATATAGCCCATTGTAACTTTTTAAATTGTCACAAGAACTAAACTTTTAAGCCACTATGTGGAAAATGTGTCATGTGTCTTTATTTGTGTCAAAATAAACTAAAATATCAACAATTACTGATAATGTTTTGTGTGCACAGGGTATCCACGAATGGACAAAAAAAGAAAAAGTTTTTATTCTCGCGTTTTCGATAAATCTTAGTCTTCAAAACTAATAATTATCCAAATAAAAGTTAAATATCTCAAAATAAATCCAAAAACTCAGAACTTTTAGATAAACGACAAAAACAAAAAAAATTAATACGACGTCAAGCGTCTGGAAGCGTCGTCGGCGTCGTTATTTCTAAAAAGTACTAGAATTTGTTATTTTAATCTAAAAATTACTAAAATTTAATAAAAATCGTTCTTCGATGTTTTGGTTTTGAATTTACATGAACATTTATTTACGACTTATAAAACTATATTTTATACATTAATATTTTTTCTTTTATCTAAAATTTGGCTAGTTTACATCTGTGAACTCAACGTGTACAGTGTACACGCTGGGTGGTTTAAAACACATTTTGGATATAAAATAACATAATCAGATACTAAATATTAGTTATTTGTTTTAATATTATTTTATTAATATTTTTGTGGAATCTCTGGACTGGAAATTTCAGGTGTTAATTTAAAATAAAATATTCTGGAGATTTGTTGTGGATAACGGTGTTTTACTTGTTTTTCTCTTTTTATTGCTAATTAGGTATTAAGCTTCACTTTACAGTACATTGTAATTAGGGCTTTAGATTTGTTCTGCGGTATTTTGGGTGCGGAACCTTACTAGATCAAGGAGCTTCCCAGTTCGAGTCGTGGTCGAGCTGGTGGTGCCTTATAAATATTTTCAGGACTCATCCCAAGACGGGTATCCCTTTTTTTTGCTCGTGCACTCACTTCCGTAGACCGTTTTAGCACGTGGCAAGGTTCGACCCGGACATGGTTTATGAGAGCATTCAACTCCTTAATTTCGTTTGACCAATATTTCACTACATCTGATTTCCTTGTATTTTTTTTTCCAAAGTTTTATTCCAACAACCCAATGATGAAAATTCTCACACTTGTTTAAATTGACTCGATCTAACCTAAATGACTTTCCTAAACGTAAAATTATGTGCACTGATCTCTCCAAGACAAACTTCAGCACTAGCTGCCACTTCCTGTCTCTAAATATTAAAAATCTATTCACACTACCTAATAACTTTTCTAGTTACTCTACAGAAGCGATTGTGATAATAAAAGCCTTAAAATTTGTATTAGAATGTAACACTTAAGAAGATCTAATTTGCATAGGATCCTTTATCTGTTTTAAAACCCATTGTAGATCTGGAAATTCCAAATTTTAATTCAAATTTCAAATGATTAGCCCAGGTGCTGTTGCCTTAATAAAATGTTAACAATGTGAGAAAATGGAGGTATGATTGATCACAATTATGTTCCACTTATTTCAATCAGTAGGTACACTAAAATACAATGACATTCGCTGGCTTAAAATTATAAGGTTCTATGTCCCAATTTTGGCACAATCGGAGTTATTAGCGCAGTAAGGTTCTGTGTCACATAGAACCTGTTTATTTAAATAACGCATGTTTCTGATGCTAAACAAAAGTTCTATGAACAGAAAATACATACAAAAAAATAATTTGTTAGCCCAATATTTATAATACGCGAAACTTAAGACCTGTTTTTTTCATCACATGTTATGTGACAGAAAAGCAGCGATATTCCAGTCTCACCTTGGTTTATAAACTGTATAATTTTAAAACACTACATATTTAATTAGAGCCAGATTTGGTCATGCCAGTCATCCCAAACATTTGTTTAACTTGTGTAACAAAGAATATGTTACACTGTGATGAATGTATACAGCAATAGTGAGACCAATCATCACTTACGGGGCAATAGCCTGGAGTAACAAAACTAGTTTGGCTACAAAGGCTAGTCTATGTTTGCATCACTGGTGCAATGAGAACCTGCCCTACGGCCACCATGGAAGTGATCTTGAATCTCACATATCTACATTTAATGATAAATAATAATAATAATAATAAAAAAAAAAGATACGATATAGAATAAACAGGAACAGAAAAATCAGACGATAGTCTATTAGCTTCAGAACCGAAGATACTTGGGATATGCCCTAGGGTGAAATAAGAAAGAAGTACAGTTTTGCTAAAAACTTAAAAACCACAGAGCTGGGGCTGCAAGAAAGAATGGAGCCAAAAACCCATCGTACTTGCAAACGAGAGACATGCTATTCAGTGGTATACTGGTGATTCCAAAACTATAGACAGAACTGGAATAGAAGTGTGCGGGCCTAGAACCAGGCACTCTGAAAGTTTGGGAAAATACCATGCTCCTTAAACATCGAAATACCTTCAACTAATTTTTTTGATATTATCCCAAGATTGGTCTATGGTTGGAATCTTAAACTCATTTCATCTGTATTTTACCTATTTATTAACCCTTTTCCAAGGCCTATTTTTGTTTGACTATTAGTTAAAAAAAGTCCAGATGGATCACTGGACGAAAAGCAAGTGTCCCTGTTATATATCGTTTTTCTTCCTCTCACTCCTCTTGTTGTTAGAAAATATTCTTAGGTAGTTTTAATTATGGGCGAATCTGTGCCTGGCTGAATGGAAATTCACCTATCCAAAAAAAAAAAATCTACAAGATTTTTGCCTTCGAGTACTCCACTATTATCTTGGCAATGTTTGTTATTATTAATATTTCTTTTCAGGATGAATTAAAAAGTATAGGCGATATTCTTTGTGCTTCGTTACCGACCTTTGCTAGAAGCTTTTGTCCAAGCACCATACAAACCGTTTACCAGAATTTACGTAAACAATTTGTGGTCAAGAAAACTACTCCTCAAACAGTTTGTACTAAAGTGAAAATGTGTTAAATTTAAAATTAAAATAAAGAAATGTATCGTTTTTATTACTTTTTCTTTCTTTTTGTCTCTTGTCCACCATATTGCGATCCAAAACATGATGGTTTCTTTAGATTTTACTGATTCCAGAGCCACAACATGAACAATTATAAAATAATGTCGTTAATTATTACTATTGAATACATTTTCTTTGGCATGTTATCTAGCTAAAACGGTACCTATACTATTTTTATTGTATCAAAATAAAATATTACAATATTGTGTATAGTATAATAAATTTTAAATTACTTACTAATGTGCAAACAACTATTCTTACTACAAATACTAATATCGTTTATAGTTGCGACAGAATGATATTGACGCTTAAATTTGTAGCTTTACTTTTAAATTTGGATATCTAGGTCTATTTTAGTCTTTAGCGATAGTCCGAAGATGATTGAAAGTGTAGATTCTCTTGAACCAAATTCTCTGTAGAACCAAAATTAGATCACATTAATATAGCGTAGACTGGGTCATAAGATCATTATGATTTCAGATGGTGTCCATTAGTGCGATAAATCAATTTGTGTTACAGACACACAAAAAAGTTTCAAATAATAGCTATATGGATTTTAAAGAAGCATATTTTGAAAATATTTTTAAATATACAGGATGTTGTACTTCTGCTTGAGAAATAAAAATTTATATTTTTTAAATTAAGCACCCTGCATTTTATTGCAGTTTTAGAATGGTCTAGTAATACTGTATTCATAAATAAAATATTATTTAAACATATTACAGGATTGCCAAGCAATTAAATATTTTGTAAAATTTCACATTGATGCAGACCTCAAATTAAATTATCATAATTTAGGTAGATTAGCGATGACTTTAAAATTATTTTAATATACGAACTCATAAGATACCAAGCTAACGATTAGTGGATAAAACTGGTTTATTTTATACAGATTGTCTTAAAAGATGTTTTAAATATGGCTAATTTTAAGTTCAATTTACTCAATTTTTTTTAAATGGAGCACCCTGTATATTATTTAAGCGTAAACTTCCTTATAAATTTACCTATCCAACGATAACAATATATACATACATAATATACAATTATACATATACAGGGGTGCCCATCAGTGCGTAATTGATCGATAGCTGTTTTAGTATTGGAAATACGAAACAAAATTATTATAAAAGTTGTATATATCTAACAATTATTTTTAAATATACAGGGTGGTCCATAAACGAGGGGCTGACCAAACCTATACATTTTAAAAGCAAAACACCGTGCAGGTAGTTATACATATTTGATTATTTTAACATCGTCGAACAATAATTTCAATTTCATTCATCTGCTATGTTGTATATATAGGGTGTCAAAATAGAAAATTACGATTTTCCTAATTTTTTAAATGGAATACTGTGTACTAATTAATACCGGGTATTCCATTTAAAAAATTGAGAAAATCGTAACCTCTCGTTTTGACACCCCCAATATTTAACATAGCGAATAAATAAAGTCAACTAAAATAGTTTGATGATGTGAAAATACCTGCCAGGTGTTTTGATTTAAAAAAGTATGTTTGGTCAACACCTCGTTTATGAACCACACTGTATATTTATTAAAAATTAATAAATATGGTCATACAACTTTTATATTAAATTTTTTTTCGTGTTTCCAATAATAAAACAGTTATCGATCAATTACGCACTGATGGGACACCCAGTATATGTGTTATTGGCTAATATGTTGGTACTGTTGAAAATGCAAATATATAAGGAGAGTTATGCTAAAATAATATACAGGGTGTTGTATTTGAGAAAATTGAGTAAATTGAACTTAAAATTAGACATATTTAAGACATGTTTTAAGACACTCTGTATAAAATAAACCAGTACTATCACCACTATTCGTAAGCTTGATAATTGTTATTTTAAACAATTTTGTAATCATTGCTAATCTACCTAAATTATGATAATTTAATTTGAGGTCTGTATCATTCTAAAATTTCACAAAATAATTAATGGGCGTGTTTAGTGAAATTCAAAAATATCTTTTTCTAAAAGCTAGCACAAAATCTAATCTAAAAATATATTTTTTAAAATTTTCTTTTTTCAAATTTTTCTACAAGAATTTTTTAAAATTAAAAAAAATCAAGCAAATATGAAACGCGGGTCACAATGATTTTTAAGGAGGTCCTTTCGCCACCAATGTTAAATAAAAAATATTAGATTATGACTAAAATTAATTTTTTTCTAATAGTAGATGTCCTTATTTATCTAATAGTAAACTTTTAACTATACCATACCGTGCAAATTTTTGAGAAAATTTTTTTTTAAAAATGTGTGTGTTTGTACAGTGTCTTATGAGAAAGTAAGACTTCAACAACAATTTTCGAATTATAATTAATTTTACTATTATTTATTGATTAGATGGAGTAGAAAAAAACTAAAAATAAGATTTTTGAAATATTTAGGTTTTGTTTTTTACAATAAAATATATGGATTACCGTGGAATTTATTGAGAAATTATTATTAAAAAATCACAAAAAATTTTCAACTAGGTTACTTAAAAATATTTTGTGATTTTTTAATAATAATTTCTCAATAAGTTCCACGGTTTACTATATATATTTTATTGTATAAAACAAAATCTAAATATTTCAAAAACCTTATTTTTAGTTTTTTTCCACTCCATCTAATCAATAAATAATAGTATAATTCGAGAATTGTTGTTGAGGACTTTTTTTCTCGTGATGCACAGTACAAATACTCACATTAAAAAAAAAAAATTTTCAAAAATTTGCAAGGTAAGGTATAGTTAAAAGTTCACTATTAGATAAAAATAAGGACTTCAACTATTAGAAAAAAAATAATTTTAGTCATAATCTAATAACTTTTTTTTTAACATTTGAGGCGAGAGGTGTGGCGAAAGGACCTCCTTAAGCATCGTCATAATGAAGCCTAAAATCTGATTGGCTAATTTATAACCTTCCAGACAATAGTCGATATGTTTTTACCTTGTTGCCGCTTCCTATAAAGAATTATTGAAATTCCGCATAACCCACAATTTAAAGGTTAAGATCGTATAATTTAACACAAAAAACATATACAGAGTGACCCAAAGGTCTGGAAACGGCCAACTATTTAAGACCTTCCAGACTACATAAAATCATAAGTGTTACATATTGTTGAACTCGTATTGAATAGGAGATTCCAATATTGACTGAATATACAGGGTGATGAATTTGAAAAATCAAAGTGACTAATAATATAAGAAAAACGGCAAATCTGGCAACATTGCAAATATCAAATCTGGAATCTCCGTATCCCAAAATAGGTGTACTTCAAATTTTGTACAATTAGGATTAGCAATTTACGAGATAGTTGACCGTTTCCAGACTTTTAGGCCACTCTGTATATTAAAACTAAAGGAATAATTGTTTAAATTCAGTTTTTATAAAGCAACTTGACACTATTTCAATAAACTTTCTTCTTAATCGAAATGTTATTCAAATCATAATCGCCATATCGCGAAGTACAAGACTGGCAACGTGATTTTTTCTGTGCGTCTAAAATGTCTAAATCCTAATCTCGTTTTCGATTGCGAGATTATTTTGATTTATTTTAAAATGATTTAATTTTTTAAAAATGGCCTTAGTACAAACAGGATTAAAAGAAGAATCTTTAGACAACTACTCAAGGTGGATTCTAACATGATTAATGATTTTTTATATAAATAATATAAAATTTATTGGCTTTGAAATTCGCAACGTAAGTACACTTTCTAAGCTCCAAATATTTCCAAAATTATTGCTTTCAAAGAGATTTGTGTTTGAGAATGAAACATTTTTTTATTATACAAACTCACTACTCAGTATTGTTAACTTTTTCTATTCTATTGTAGGTCTTTCAAGGAAATGTACTATCATATGTTCGGTTACAATTTGTAACATTAAAGCTAGAATTACACCAGAACACAAAACGTTTATAGCGTTATTCAATAAGAAACGAACAAAAGAAAAGTTCATATCCTGTAAATTCACAGAATATTCAATTTATATAACTTTTATTTAAAACTTGTTTATGTGTCTGTGACACAAATTGAAATATTGAACAATTACGCACTTATCCCAAGCAGCAAGGTGCCGTCATTATGACGTGATTTTTTGGGTTTACTCGTCAGAAACGTCACTATCCCAATTAATGACGTTACTTTGACGTCGTTTTTGTAACGTTAATTAGACGTCAAGACAGACTCGTCATTATGACGTAATTTTTTAGTATTAATTTATCCGAAATACAATATCCTAATCAGAAACGTGTATTTGACGTCGCATTGATGACATAGAATAGACGTCACTTAGAATTCATCATAATTACGTTATTTTTTTGTATATTTCTGGCAATGTCATATGTCAATTGTCATTGTTGTTTCCTGTTTCCTCCATCTTCATGATTCTTGTGACAGCCGTGACCTCGTGAACGAGGTGCATTTTTAAATTGTACTTTATTTGATAAGATGTTTTAGAAGAAGGTAAAAAATAGAATGTGACAAAATAATAAAATATATTAAACCGAATTTGGTATTTTACAGATGTATGGCATTGTTGAGTTTGAAAAATCGGATAATGACGGTCTGGCGGTTGTGAGATGAGCAAAAAATGGTTGATGCTGAGTAAAAAACAAGTCTTGGCCGTCTTTATAAAGAAATATATAAATAAATATAATATAATATAAGACTGGTGAGTAACGTTATACTTTTATTTTTTAATTATGGGTTCTTTTAGGGTATTTTTTAATAGTTTATTTAAAAATAAAAGATTTGTGGGGGTTCACTTGATTTAGATACCTTTTATCGTCTTACAGAATATATGATCTTTTTTTTAATAACTTTTATTATAAACTCAGACTATATGTATACCTCTGAGAAGGCAGTTTTTGGGGCTACTACCTCAATCTCCGGTAAAGTAATCCCTTCAGATTTTAGAACTAGATACACAATTTACTTTCTATCTTTAAGAATTTTCAGTGGTATTTTAATAGTTCTTTT